CAACAACAACAACAACAACAACAACAACAACAACAACAACAACAACAACAACAACAACAACAACAACAACAACAACAACAACAACAACAACAACACACACACCCCGGGTATCATGTCCACAGCAGGGTCCCAGGCGGGCCTCGAGACGTTCGACGCGCTCAACATCGACTATGAAAAGGCCTACCATGACAACCCGTTCAAGGTGGCGTGTGTCAAGACGGCCATTTCCATGCTGCCGCCCGGATCGAGGGTGCTAGATGTGGGTTGCGGCACAGGCATGCCCGTGTCTCAACTGTTATCGACCGCGGGCCTCGAGGTCTTCGGCTTCGACATCTCGCCCAAGATGGTCCACTACGCGCAGTCCCGCGTCAAGGGCACGTTTGTCGTGTCCGACATGCTCCAGTATCAACCACCTGCGGGCCAGCAGCAGTTCGCGGGCGTGTTCATCATCTTCGCGCACCTGCAGCTCTCGTACGCCGATTTCCACGCCGCAGCGTACAAGTTCGCCCAGGTGCTGCAGCCCGGTGGCATTCTCGTGCTGGGTCAAATGCCCGCGGACAATTACGTGCGGGCCGAGTCGGATTGGGATGCCACCAAGACGTACGTCGAGGATTACGACGCGCCGTTCATGGGGGAGATGTTGCCGACGCTGGCGCTGAGCGCCGAGGGCCAGCTTGAGTTCCTGCGGTCCATGGGGTTGGAGATTGTCAGCAACAAGATCGACACGTTCCAGCCGAACAACCCCAAGTGTTTGCCCGAGGAGCAGCAGTATATCATTGCGAGGCGGCCGGATGACAGGCCTCTGTCGCCGCCGACGCCGCTTCCGAAGACAACGAGCTAGAGAGGGAAATGAGGAAGGACGGACGTCGGATACAAGAGCATGATCTTTGTGGCCCTCTATCTATCAGTATAAGCTCACGCCGGATATGGATCAGGTATGTTGGGCTGCAAGAGTTCGAGATGCCTAGCCCGGCCTGGGGAGGGCCTCTGTCGAGAGTTTGGGTGGTCGTGGCCTGGCCACCTAGCCGTACGAGTTATAAGCTCAGCAAAAGAAACTCTGTGCTTGACCGCCTCCTGTTCTGCAGCCTGGCAGGCACAACGCTGATAGTCATCCTGCGGACTGTCTGCTGTAGATATAGGCAGATTTTTTATGTTGTAGTGATCCAAGTCGACCCTTGCATAAGCGTGGTGATGCGGTGTCTTTTGCATGTCTGGCTGCTCCTTCTTCCGGGATACTGGAGTGACCGTTGATGAATTCTAAGCCTTGGGCAGCGAGGCAGACAGAGCGAATCACTTGATGGGATGGCGCGCCGTTGAAGATCCTCGCCACATTCGAGCTACAAACTTCCCACTTTGTCGTCTTGTGCTGGATGACTTGCAGACGGGAGGACGGGGAGGCAGAATCTGCATCGATCCCGCGGACCTTTGACTGGCGGATGAAGCCTGTTGAGGACCGGCCTGCTTCTGCTTCTACCAGTAAAGTGGCTGTCGTGATGCAGCTGCATGCGCTATTCTTGGGGCCAGCAGCTCTTGGCTGTGATACCGTCGTGTGATGAAAAGCAAGCACTCGCATCCGCTTTGGGCCTGTTGCACGCCTGGCCGCGGGGGACTTCGGATCTTTGACTCGGTCAGCGTGTGGCCGCTCTGCATCTGCAGAGAGGACACCTCGCGGTCTCTATCATCAAGATGCTCCTGGCGTTCAATGGAGCCATCGTCGAGGATGGCATTGGTGCCCGTCAAGAAGGAATTGGTGTCGATCGAGCCGAAGAGCACGCCGCCGGCCGACAAGCAGCAGCAGCAGCAGCGGCATGAGGCTGACAAGAAGGCCAAACCTCGCGCCAAAGCGTTCAAGGACCTGACGCTCGAGGAGAAGCTGCTCGAGATTGTGCGCCACAGCGTGCGGCCCTTCTCGGATCGACTGGATCCTTTCGCTGCCCTGCCGGTCACGCTCGACCGCTTTCAGGAGCACCTCATCAGCTTCTACTTGCTCTACTATCCCAAGGCGACGTACGGGTTCAGCCCGCGCCTGCGCCCGCACCCGGTGGCCAGCAACTTCTCCATCGCGTTGACCACGCCGGCATGTTTCCAAGTCATCATGGCGCGCTCGGCGCTGTACCGCATCTCGCTGAACAAGTACGCTACCGAGGCGGAGAAGTCATCTCTGGAGCTCGCCGTGGTGCGGCACAAGGGCGAGGCGTTGAAGTTGGTGCGGCTGTTGAGCAGTAAACTGACCCCCAAACGCAAGGACGACCTGCTCGCCTCGATCATCAGCCTGGGCACCTTTGACCGGCGATCGGGGTCTCAAGAGGCGGCGGGCATGCACTATCAAGCCGTGCGGCGGATCCTGAAGTCGACGGGCGGTCCGCTGGCCGTGAACTCGGTGCTCCTGTCGCGCGTCATGTGCTTTTTCGAATGCATCTACGGCACCAGCCCCGAGAGCTATATCTGGGACGAATCCGACGTGCAGAGGCTGGTCCACGGCCTGAACGGCTTTCTGAAGAAATTGCGAGAATTCTGGCAGTCCCTATCGACCATCAACGCTTTGACCGCGCGACTCGCCGAAGACGAGGACGGCGAGGCAAGAGACCTCACCGGCAAGGAGGCAGAACCACGACCCATCCACTCGTTCGGCATCCGACCAGGCTCGACCTTGCTGGGTCTCGTGTCCAGACAACCTCCGCCGACGGCGGAACTCACGCAGCAACGCCGCCTGGAAATGATTTTCCAGCTCACCTGCCTCCTCACGCTCGGCATGATCACCATGGACCTCGCCAACGACTTCCGCGCCCTGCAGGCGTACATGGACGGCCTTCACGCGTCCATCGAGAAGCTGCAGCTGGCGGGGCTGAGTTGCAACAACGCCATGTGGCAGATCCAGGTCAACGACCACAGTGAACCGCATAGCCGGCGGATCTGGCGGGCCGCCAGCTTTGCCTGGGTCATGAAGCATTGCACCTACAGCGTTCAGTTGACGCTCAAGGACTGGCTCCTCGCCTTCTTCACGGGGAAGCCGGTTCAGAAGCCGTACCGGCTAGATCCGTTCCATTTCAGCTATGCTGATTGACAGGATTGCGCGCGTTACGAATCTATGGTGCAGTGTTCCAGCGTAGCGAAGCCGAGACGGGCACAGGGAGTAACTCTGTCGAGGAGTGCACCGCAGGCAGAGGTAGCCCTTGGTCCCGGCAGTGACCGTTGTACGGACAACGCGTTAGCGCATCGTCTTCATATCGATATCGATAGAGAGCCCGTATTGATACGCCTATCGCGTGATGACCTGTCTCTTTGCGCGATTTTGCCTGCCGTTGGGTGCAACCTCGCATGCCGAAAGAGGAGCTTGACGCGAGAGGCGAAACAAAGCGCGACAAAACGGGCGGCAGATTCCAATCAGGGCCGCCCACTTTGCGCCCCGCACGCCCCCTGGAGCTGAAAGAGGCTAGGCCAAGGACACACGAGACGGCTAGCGACATCCGTGGCTCGGGCTGCTGAGCAGGACAACGGGGGTACCGTGGTTTCCTTGTACTCCGTAGGGACTACGATGTACCTCGTCTGTACCTGGCCACCTGCCCTGCTGGGTGAGCATTGACACCTCGCCGCATACCACGCCCTGGGTACTATTGACACGCAACTCAAGCGGCGATAAGCTACTAATCCTCCGGTAAGGCACAAAGACATCGCGACGCGTGACGCCATCCCTCAAAGACTGATGCTGTACGAGTACGGAGTACAAAGCGGACCGCAAGAATGAGGGCCAGGCGCCAGCTCGTCCGCCCTTAATTTCTCGTGGCGCCATCCAACCTCGCGCCTCCACCGTTTTGTGGTCCCTGACTCAGTCATCAGCCGCACCTTACCGATCCTTCACCACTCCCTTTCCTCATCCCACCACCACACTACACCACCAGTGGCAGTCCTGGAATGTGTTCTGTTGTTCCATAACATCATCCAGGCACAGAAGCAGAGACCTTTTGCGTTCCCGAGAGACTGCTCTCTCACGCATTCTTCGTGCGTCATGTCACTATAACGGAATGAATCCCTTGCATTTGTACCTGTGCTTTTGAGCTGATAGCTCTGCCACTCGTTAAAACACCATTACCATCACGGTCGTCATTCATTAACCACCCAAGTCACTCGTTTTGCGCCTCGTCTCTTTTTTCATACCTCAATCCTCTTTACAGCATCCTATCCGAGTTCGACGGCAGCGACCCCACGAAAGATGGCCTCGAAAGGTATGTGCATTGGCGGCTTGAAGCCAGGCAGTATGGAATTGACAGAAGCCTACACAGACGCACTCTCCACCATTTACGGTGTTCCTACGAAATACGCCTCCCTCCTCACCCTCGTCGTCCAGAACTCGTCGCTCGTTCTGTTGATGCGATATTCCCGAATCCTACCTGGTCCGAGATATTTGAGCTCGACCGCCGTCGTACTTTCAGAAGTCCTAAAATGCCTAATATGCCTATCAGTCCACATCAACGAACAACGCCATCAGTACCGCTATTCACAACTACCGTCCCTCTCGGACGAATCGAATCCTTCCGCGAGCCAACCGGGTTATAGCTTGAAGCACCTGTGGAGCGATATCTTCAGCGTCAAGAGTGGCTTCTTCAAGCTCCTCGTGCCCGCCGTCCTTTATACCTTGCAGAACAACTTGCAGTTTGTTGCGGCCACCAACCTCGATGCCGCGACTTTCCAGGTCACGTATCAGTGCAAGATCTTGACCACGGCATTGTTTGCAGTGTTGATGCTTGGCCAGACCCTGTCGGCGAAGAAGTGGCTGTCGCTGGTCATTCTTACGGCAGGCGTTTCGTGCGTACAAATCCCCTGCGGAACGACCAAAACCACTGCGCAGCAAGGGAACTACATGGTGGGGATATTGGCCGTGGCCGTCGCCTGTGTTTGCTCGGGGTTTGCGGGCGTATACTTCGAGAAGGTGCTGAAGAACGGCCAGAGCTCGTCAATCTGGGTTCGCAACATCCAGTTGAGCGTTGGATGTTTGGGCATTGCACTATTCGGCACGTTTGTGTGGGACGGCCAAGCAATCCGAGAACGTGGCTTCTTCCAAGGCTATAGCCCCGTGGTCTTTGCCACAGTCTGCGTGCAGGCGGCCGGTGGGCTGATCGTGGCCATGGTCATCAAATATGCCGACAACATCCTCAAGGGTTTCGCCACCTCACTCTCGATCATCCTGTCGACTGTCGCCTCGGTCTTCATCTTCAACTTTGTCCCGACAGTATCCTTCCTGTTCGGCTCGATTTTGGTGTTCCTTGCTACGTACTTGTACAGCATGCCAGACTCACCCAAGCCGGTCGAGAGCACCCGCATCGACATGGCGGAAAAGAATCCAATACTCGTTATTGACGACTATGACGGCGAAGAAGGACTGGGATTGAAGAACATTCCCAAACCGTTCCGGGACGAGAGCGACCCTGAATCAGGTGACGAGATGAGTCGAGACAGCATCAGTGTATATGAGCCAGACGATGGCACATATTCTCGCAACTTTTCACCCTCGTTGATTGGGACACCTCGAACCGACAAACAGCCTGAGCTGGATTATGTTAGCTAAATCAGTCGACATCAGTATTGTGATATCATCACATTACAATGTAACATTGGAGGCCGGGTTGGACCAGCGACTTTAGCCACGCATTCAATGTACCATTGCAGTTTTCCGAGCCCGGGTTCTTTGGCTCACACCTGATTTGACGGGTTTCTCTCGCAGCGAGGGATTGCTTCACTTTCCACGAGTTACGAATTGAATAGAATTCCAAGCAGGACGGGCGGCATTGTTAGGAAGATTGGATATGACTTGACTCATCATTCGGACGTAGGAGATACAGAACCATTGAAATTATGATACCAGGTTATCCTTGGCCATTGCAATTGCACGATCCTGAATGTCCAGTGAGGCGTAGTTGCAAGGCTCGAGTTGAGAAGTGACAATTTCATTGCTTGCGACGCGGGTTGAGAAGTGGCAATTTTGATCGAGTTGATCATTCACCGACGGCCACGGTCTGAGGCTGTCTTTGGTTTCTTCCCGCACAGAGTCTGGAATACGGTGTACTCCGTACTTTGACTCAAGATGAAGATCTCCCAACTCTGACCGGGGCTCGCCAGCTGTGTTATTTAAAGTAAGCAACGTGAAGCACAGCACAGCAAAGCGAAGCAAGTCGAGGCAAGTCGAAGAAAGGTAATTAAGGGCAAGGCAAGGCTGAATGCTTGTAGACTCGCAGGGGGTTGAGTACTACGGAGTGCGTGCCTACCTTACCTTCACTACCTTTATGTACCTATATACTCCCGCGTGTCACGGTACTATAGCCCTGTGGATATATAGACGAATACGACCCCCAAGCCAACTAGGTAAGTCAGCCGAATACGGATTTACGCGTAACCCGTGTGGTTGCCCCGCCCCGCCCCGCCTTCGTTTCCGCGGACCTAGCACCCGGGGGGAGGCTGATTTCGGTCATTATGGTATTCGACGTCCCTCCTTCGTCTTCGTTACCTACCTTACCCAGTAGGGAATACTCGGGACGGAGTCCTAGGTTCTTCCTACGGTCTTCCTCTTATGGAATCCTCGTATACGAGTAGAGTGCCTCCGTACCACGCTCGTCCTGCGCAGTGCAAGGACATTACACGTACAGCTTAGCGTAGCGTAGCACAGCACGGCACGGCACAGCACGGCACGGCACAGAAGGATCACGTTAAATACGCGGAAACAAGGAACCGAGTATACGGTAAGGTACGTATACGGAGAGTTGGGTCGTGTGCGTCGTGTGCGTCGTGCGCGTCGCGTCGTGTTTCTGGCTGGCTGGCTGGCTGAATACGCGGTACGTACTTACGAGGAAGGAGGGCAGGCGGCTTTTCACATTGCATTGATTGAGTGAATTGAGTGATTGATGCAGATGATGGAGGAGACGTAGGTGCAGATCGGGATATACATAGACAAGGATGGCCATGGCATCCAAATGGAGAGATTTGGAGATTTAGAGATAGGTCCATGGGTCCTTCTCAAGTCGGTTGTTACTGGGCTACTGGGTTATCGGGTTCGCAAGCAGGCAAACGGGTAAGCTGTTCACAATCCGCAGTACCTCGTGGGTGGGTAGGTAGGTCAGTATATATGCGGACAACGGGTCTGTGCCTGTTGTTTCTCACATCTTCACCTACACTCTGGTGTCTACGTACCTGCGGTGCTCCATCTTCTGGGTTCGAACTCACCCATCTTGTGTGCCCGTTCTCTACTCCTTTTTAATCTCGCGAGCACGTCTTGTACGCTCCCGCTGTGTTCTTCTCTTAACAAAGACGCATTCCCCTCTCCTTCGCCTTCTCTGGGAAATTCATCATGGCGACAGCCACGTCGAACGCGACCTCAACCCCCGACTCCGACTTCAGACTCTACCGCTACGACCCCTCGCTCGGCCCTGCCATCCTCTTCATCGCGCTCTTCTTCGCCGCCTCTTCCCTGCACCTATACCAACTCATCCGCACGAGGACATGGTTCTTCATCCCCTTCGTGGTGGGCGGCTTCTTCGAGAGCGTCGGCTACATCGGCCGCGCGATCGGCGCGCAGGAGACTCCCGACTGGAGCGTCGGCGGGTACGTCATCCAGTCGGTGCTGATCCTCGTGGCGCCCGCCCTCTTCGCCGCGAGCATCTACATGGAACTGAGCCGTATCATGCAGCTCACGGACGGGGGGAGCCGGTCGCTCATCAACACGAGATGGTTGACCAAGATCTTTGTCGCGGGGGATGTGTTTTCATTCTTGATGCAGAGTTCTGGTGAGTTGTGCCCTTTAGCCCTGTTCCTGACCTGGTTTTTACGGGCGTGATCGTCGCATGGCATCGCATGGCACTACGATGCAAGCAATACTAACCTGTCGTTCGCGTCTCTAGGCGGCGGGATCATGGCCGGCGGATCCGAAGACTCGATGAAACGAGGCGAGAACATCATCATCGGCGGCCTCGTGCTCCAGATCATCTTCTTCACCTTCTTCATCGTCGTGGCTTCGGTGTTTCACTACCGCATGCACAAGAGGCCCTCGGCGCGTGTACTTGCCGATATCACCATCGCGTCAGTCTGGAAGAAACATCTGCACGTCCTGTATGGGGGAAGTTGGCTCATCTGGATCCGCTCGCTCTTTCGACTGGTCGAGTACGCGCAGGGAAATGATGGGTATTTGATCTCACATGAGTGGTTTTTGTATGTGTTTGACGCGGTGTTGATGCTTGCTACGATGCTGCTGTTTGCGTTCGTGCATCCTAGTGAGCTAAATGCCTTGTTGAAGGGCGGCAGAGGACGGGCCGTGAGGAGGGTGGTCTCGGTTTACAGCTTGAAGTAAGGGGGCGTGGGAGTACCGAAGGCGGAGAAGATGGCCGTCTGTACGTACTACCGTGGCTCTGTGTGCTGAGGTGGCGGTGATTCGGCAATCGTCAGCTGCTATGAGGAAGTTTGGAATCGTACCGACTATTCTTTCTGACGGGACGTAGGGCGTGGTACTGGCGCTGTCCCGTTGTCGGTCTTGGGAGATAGATCAGAGCTTGGAGCTCGGAGTCTGGAACACTTGTTTTAATTGATGCTCTGCTCTGCTGATAGGTGTCACGGACTGGTCGAGAGGAAGGCGGCACGGCGAACCATGCAGTAAGCAGATACGAAGCGATCGGTGCGGCCAGAGTCAGCTTGGTGAATCAGTCCATTGATTGTCAGTTGAGCCTGTCAAAACACACTCGAGCTCTTTGGAATGGCCTCGGTATTTGTTCTCATTACCTAGTCGGTATTGCTCAGCATCTGCTTACACTTCTCGACTCCAGTGCAATTTCTGGTTGTCAAATTCACGGTAACGCTTGGGATACTCGGAGATTGATCAGGTGCTGCGTGATACATGAGTGTTTTATGGTCTGCACACTAGACCGTGACAAACCACATCCCCACATCGGATCCTATATCTCTAGAATCCTCTCAGTGTGATGTGGGTTGTGGACTGGGATCATACACTGTACGTGCAATGAAGTGAGAATGAGAGGCTCGAAGATGAAACGCCGCAAAACGCATAAGGAAACTCGGCACACGTCATCCTTGGCACTGTTCACAAACCAGCCATTCCTCTTTCCATTCTTCATTGCTTTAGTCCGAGGCATATTGCCTATTCCGCGAGCCTTTTCTCTGTGCCTCCAAGGATTCATGAAGGCTGACCATCGCAAGCTCTCTCTTTGCGATAGAGCATGCAAAGGCCGTCGGTGAATGGTGAAGGTTGCGCTTTCATTAGCAGCAACGTTGATTCATTGACCCTTCCTCAACTCACCCCCCCGGTCGTTCTACTTCGGCGTGCGAATTTATTATCTGACGAAAAATTCATCAAGCTTCAACCTGGAAGATGGACACGCAAGACGGATCACATCGAACACCCACACTCTTGAACATGCCACCAGAGATCCGGATCAAAATCTGGCAGTTTGTCTACCCCCACATCAACTGCGTCGACAAGACATTTTACTTGCCCTGTCCTCAAGACCTTCCCCCTCGGGGGACTTTGAAACCTTGGAAAAACAGAACAAAACCATGTCTATGTCCTTGCGGAACGAACCACGCCGGCCCGTTAAAGACGTCCAAAGGCATCCGCAGGGAGCTCCAGCATGTCCTGAATACCGTGCCCATCGTCATCCGACATTGCAGCTTGTTCTACCTTCCAGAACGATACTGGCCGAGAGTCGTCGAGATCATGGTGCGGAGCCACCAGTTCCCGTTCGAAATTCGGTTGGACGGTTCTGTGTACGAGTCGTCGCGATCTTCCACCCTCGACTTCGCTCAATTGCCGAAGCTGAAGAAAGTGGCCCGCGAAGCTATCAGTGACCATGACGCACTCGGTATGGCTTCTTGGGATTTCCCAGTCATCGAATCGGACGAGACCATGTTAGCATACACAAAGCAGCGCCTGCGAGACCCTACCAAGGACCCCTCGCTGGAGGACAACGAAAATTTGGCATCAGCGATATGTACCGAAATTGAGGAGTCCGGTACGGAATCGTTACGAAAAGCACTCCAACGAATCATCGACGCGATCGAAAACCACAATGTGAGATTCGAGTTCCCTTACTATCTTACCGAAGGTCTTCTGAAGATGCTCGGCTGCCCCTTGGACTTTAAGTCCAATGCCAGATATAAAGCCCGGTTTTTGTTCAGAAGTGTGCGTTTGATCATCATCCTGGTATAATGCCGCATTCTTCCGCTGACACGATGCAGGACTTCATCTGGGACAAAGACGGTCCCCGGCTGTCGTCGGTACCCGATCTACGCCGTGAAGTGTCTTCCGCGGACTGGTCGAGCTGGATGAGTGTGGGACAATGAACACGACATATTCGGCCTCCAGCGGGCATAATATTTGCAAAGTTGAGAGGCAATTCTATAACTCGGCGGTCACGAGATTATGATGAGAAGAAGGCAGACAAAGACAAGTATGAAAGCACATCGATGCAGTTATATCAAGATCGAGAGCTCCCGTATCGTCATTCGAGTGCCGTAGGTCTTTGAGAGGAAATGGCAGGTTCGCAGCAAAGTGCCGGACGCAGATTGCTGAGGAGGAACAAGCTTACCAACGCCGTCTCATTCTACTTCCCTCTCCATCGCTGATGCTGGAGTGGGGCTTACACACACACACACAGTGGTGCTCACTGATCTTGACTTCTGCAAGGAGGACCAGCCAGGAGTGTGTCTGCCGTCCCCGTGTTCCCGATACTGCGGCTTGAATAGCGAGTCACTGACTTTGCGGATGTGAGGTATAGAGGCAGGAAGATGGAGAGCGAGAAAAACCGCGGAGCTGGCAACATCTGGCTGAACGGCAGACTTGGGTGTTTGTAGGGAAGTAAGCTCAGGCACGTGGCGTGGCAAGTGGGTGGTGGGACGTCTGGGTCAACGAAGGCCGCCCTGCCTATCACGGAGCTCGATGGGAGGAGGACCAGGATATCTGTGCAATCAAGATTTGGTGGTGAGGGGAAATCGAGTGACCGGAGCACGACGCGACACGCAACGGTTGGTCGAGCGCGTTGAAAACAGCGAACGGTGCTATTTGTGTGTTACGGTACATACCATTTTATTCAACTGACAAAAGCGAGCGACAGAAAGAGAGACCCGGACATCGCCGTTATTTTTCGGTTTCCTTTCACATTCTTTCCACCCTAAAAATTCTGAGGATATCGCACTTGCTCGGGCTGCGCAGATGGGAGAGAGCTCTCAAGAGCCAAGGTACAGAAGAGGATGTCCGTGGTAGACCTCCTTGTAATCCCTGATTATGCCCACTTCAAACCGGGGCTCGTCCGATCGTGGCCTTGCCGCCCAGTGGACAGTCGTGCGCATTATGTCGCCCGGCCCAAGCGTCTGGACGCGCCACCCGCCGTGGCCGAAGTCGTGGCAGCGTGAATCATACCACATATTCCTGGGAGTTGGGGTCGCGTCAACCCACTCGTCGTACCACCACTCGTGCTTGAGACTGGGGATCTCGCCGAGTCGGATGCCGCTCTTGTCCCAGATCACGTTCTAGATAATGTATGGCTCAATTAGTTGGAGAGCGGTCTTCAGAGTACACTTAAGTGCGTTTCACGGAACTGACAGAGGAAAATTCGTACCGTGTGGATTCTCTGGTTCAGCAGAATCTTGGGCGCAACGATTCGGGGTCTCCTTAGACTAGCCCGGCATCCCTGCCTCTCGGTGACTTGGAGCCGATAAGTATACGAAGCGTGCACCGCGATGTCAGAGTCCAACAGGATGGCCAGAGTCTCGTAGAATTGTTCGGTGTAGCCGTTATTGAGATGTTGCGTGTGTACACTGCTCAGAAGGTCGACCTTGTCCACCTGAGATCGTCCGCTGCGATCGTGGAGGCGTCTGTGGATGTGGTCGATGATGGCGTCGGAGAACTTGATCGTGCCCCAGCTGCCAGTGAAATCTGGCTTCAGGTAGATGCGCTTCAAGTTTGGGTAACTGCTTGCCAGATCCACGTTCTCGAAGTGGCTCTTTGGACCACAGCAAGCCAGCCAATTCGATGGAATGATAAATTCCTCGACTTGTCCTAAGCAATTCGAAGGCAGGTGGACATTCATGAAATGGTGGGTCTCGTAGGTGATACTGGCCTTGGACAGGACGGATCTGATTTCGGGGAAGGCGCGCTTGCACAGCAGCGACAGTGATACTCGTTCGTTGTGTAGCTTGACGAACTCGCACCGACAACGCGGGTCGGATAAGCCGCCACGGTTTGATGGGTTGTCTTCCTTACGCGCATTCGAACATTTCTTGTGATCGTGGCAATCGAAGCGGTAGGGCCCTGCAAAATACCACCACCGCTGGGGGATTGCGTATTCCCAGATCTGGACCCGGATCTCTGCTGGGAGTGTCATGAGTGTGAGCGGTCCGGAAATGGCGGAGTTGTAGCTCGTCGACATTGTGCATCGTACGCGTTGCTCTGCAGCCGAAGCATGGGAGTCCAGGCTTTTCCCTCTTGATAGAGAAGACTTCTACTTCTCGACAGAAAAGATTTCACAAGTGCAAAGTTTGAAGAGGAGGACAGGGACATTCCGGGCCTGGCCGCGTAGACCATGCAGGCAGATGCACAGGGCACAACTAAAACCAGAGATGAAGATATGGTCGACCACTTAGAAGGTCGTACCACCTTGGAAGTGGTGGGAAGCCTTCACGTTCACTACCTACTAAGCACGTGATGAGCAGAACATTTTTGAATCTGGTGGTGCCGGTGGCAGTCCATGCGGCGAGATATGCATACGATTGCTTGTTTGAATTCGCACATCTGGGACAACGGGACACGGAAAGCGAGTGTAGAACGTTTCAGGCGATGTCGATCCATTGTGGCAGGTGTGAACCTGTTATTTCAGTGCTGAGATTGGTCTGAAGAGTTGAAAGTGAAAGTGAAAGTGAAAGTGAAAGAAACGGGTGAACGCGAAAGACGCGTTTCCAACAGTCGCGACTGCGGCCGATGGTCTGTCTTGGCTTCACTTCCAAGTCATCTTCCCTTCTCCATCACTCTTCGCTCATGGACTCCTCTTTCTTTGCGTCCAGTCCCTGGCTTCGTTCTTTGTCATTGTATTCAACTTGCGCACAATACAGGATCATGGATCTCAACGTCCATAGGCCGCTAGAGGCCCCAAGTTACCTCTAGTGGTGAAAAACCATATCACTACCGCAAGCTTCATGGACATTACGGACACATTGTCAGAGCCAAGCCCCAACCATATCTCCATATCCGATCCGCAGAACCATATGTGGACGAAGGCACTACGATCTTCTGCAGCGCGAGGGAAGAGCTCCAAGGCCAAGTCATTGATCTCTCCGAGTGGCTTCGGTAGAAAGATGTAGATTGACCGTCAGTGTTGCCGAGCTTGCTCCTGTGACAGTCTACGGCATGTCACCATTGTCCTCATGACCAAAGCTCGTCAAGATGCTCATCAGAATTAAACTCAAAGGGCAGAGTCCCCAGCCAAGCAAAGTCAATCTGATCGTCGAGGCAAAGGCTGGGCAATTCTCCTTCCGGTTCGCTCCACGTGATTATGCTGTGCGGCTGTTCTGCGACCGGCGACAATGTCTCAGGGTTGAGGCCTACTCTGACGCCGCCGCCCCCAGCGGCATCCATCTGATACCTTGCAGAGCCCTGCGCAGGCCCATGGACAGGTTGTTGGGATTGTGGCGCGACTGAGGTCGATGTTTGAGCCCGAGCCTGAGCGCGAGGAGCCGGGAAAAGGCTCCTCTCGCTCAGCTCGAGGAGTTTCAGTGAGCGGACGGCTGTGCGGTGCGTGGACTGGTATAACCGCAAAGTGTCGAGGCACGGGTTCCAGAACGACATACAGTCATTGCCACTGATGTTGCAGTGCCGGTCGAGCAGGAAGACCATGCCACAGGTGTACAGCCAGAAAATGACGTACCATGGTTCCGGAATGGCTTCGAGGTAGGCCCGGTGAACCCATTCAAGCAGCAGCACCAGCTCCTGGGCATTTTTGATACACATGTGCACTCCATGATTGACCAACGCGCGGCCTAGAGCCGACGAGATATCCTCATCGTCACTTCCGGCGTCATGTCCCTTTCTGCCTCGAAAGCCACCTCCAGGTTGGGCGTGATGCAGCAGGATCGGCCTAAACAGGAGGATGTGCGCGTAGAGATGACTGCGAGCATACCAAACCAAACCCGTGAGCTGACTGTCCGAGAATTGAGGATGGGAATGGGAATGGGAACGGCAACGGGAATCGGACGGCTAACCAGGTACTCACCGAGCACGCAGCGCGACAGCTTGCACGTCGAATTTAGGGGTGAATGTTTCATCCAGGGAGAGCAGCTGCGCGCTTGCCGGCACCCTCAGACACCACGGCAACGACGTTTCCCAGTGGCAGAGATCGCCTTCGAGTTGGACGAGACTTCGAAAGTCCCCGCTCGCGATCTTTTGCATGAGATGCGGAGCCCTGAATACCTCGATGCCAAAAGACGTCGAGTCGGATAGATAGACGTCGTCGCCGGACGGAGTTTCATACAGCGTCGAGGTGATCATGCTCAAAGTGCGCTGCAGTCTGACCGAATACACGAACGAAGCAAGACTGTTGTCATCGGACGGTCTGGTCGGCGTCAGCGCCTCCGCGGGTTCGACGGGTCTCGAGGGAAGTAGCTGCAGCTGTTCGGCAAGTACGTCGGCGACCATGGCCGGACGGCCGTAAGTCGTTGATAAGGTGCTGATGTACAGTATAAAGAGTCAGCCAGCCCGCCAGCCCGCCAGCCCGGACCTCCACGTTCGCAAGGGAGTCTAATCTGTCTTCATACCGGTCCATTATCACGCATCCAGCCCATATTCGGCACCGCAAACAAGATAGCGTGTCATGTGAACGAGGCTGCCTGTCCACGTCCCCACAGGTGGTGCTTTCGATTTTATGGCTGCCTCGATTGTGTAGGCCAACGCTCTGGGCCATCCTGATGGAGACACCAACTAGATTCCAACAGGCGCCGGTAAGCTCTGTGGAGCTTTGCAGGTAGATACTTGCGTACAGCAAGGCTTGGATGAATTGGAGATTTGGCCGGTTGAAGATATCAAAGTCCAGCTCCAACAAGCTTTTGCTCCGTTGCCAGTAGATTTCTCCACGATGGGCCTGCGACAGGCCCGTATTGGGTGTATCACAGCTGCAACTGACGGCGAAGATGGCGTTCAGGAGAATGTGAAACCTCCGGGAGTCGGGCACTTTGTCCTGCAGTAGGCAACGACGACCGGCGTGCTCGGTGAACGACGATGACTCGATCACCGTCGAAGATGTCAACGCCTCCGGAGGACTGGACGACCAGACTTCGCTGTACTGACGGTGGAACTGGTCACGGTCGAGAAACGGGTAGAGCGGATAGACCTTCTTCCAGAAGCGGTGAAGGAGGGCATCAGCTTCTTTTCGCGGCGGGACGCTGTACTCTTCGCTGGGCACCACTGTCGGCAGAGCTCTGCCATGGTGCATGGTTAGCGGCACAAAATCCTGAAAGCCAGAAGTTCTGAGAATTACCTTCGAGCTGGCTGTGTGGGGTTTGCACTTTGGCCCGCCGAGGGAATCGGCCTGGAGCTGACCAGAAGCTTCTGGACATGGGCAACAAAGGACAGAGTCGACGACTTTCCGAAATAGCCTATCTCTTCAGCATCAAGGTCGGTCAGTTCCGTGATATCGCCAGGAACGGCACCCATGCCATCGACACGATCACTGATTGCGTCCTGCCCGGGTTAGCAATGCTGGGAGGAAAGGCGTCGACCGGTTTGCGTACCGAGTTCGCGATGGGCGAGAGTGTCTTCTGAGAGACCTCATTCTCGTCGATTCGATGATCAAGTCTCGTGTCAAGCTCGCTGTGTTGCGCTTGAGTTTCACCAGAAGCCCTCTGTGACGACGACAGACGGGTCGGTTGATGAGAGCCATGCTCATCTTCGTCAGCCTGGCCCTGGAATCCGGCGCCGGACAAAGACGGCTCGAACAACTCCCAATCCGGCTTGGTGGTCGGTAAGGATGGTCGCGCGGTGATGCTAGCTGGAGGAGGAGGAGCGGCGTAGAGTGGTGTTTTCCTGCCTTCCAACTCCACCAGTCGACGCTCCAGGAGTTCGATCTGTCTAATTTTCTATATCAGTATTGGCGTGACTTCGCCAACGCCAAAGCAGAGACCCGATTACCGTAGAGCTTGTGATTTTCGACTTCCTGGTCTCTCGTAGACGCAGTTGGCATGGATGCTGCGGTGCGAACACGTCCCACATGTCGGCCTGGCGCCGTCGCATTTGCGCTTGTCTCGCCGGCAGCTCTCGCCTTTCAACACACGCGACACAAACCGTTAGTAGTCGGCAATCAAGGCCGCATGGCTCATGGTTCGGTAGGGGATCATGCATTGAATCTTCGCTTACAGGCAAGCACTCCGCGTTTCCGAGCTTTGGGCTGATCGCCACGATGCTGCGGAGTCATCCTTCCTTTGCAGGCTCTTGCGGGACCGGACGTGTACTTAGACGGTGTAGTGAAGAATCAAAGCAGGAGCTGATAATGTCGAGGGTTGCGGGAATGCTGCTTGCCAAAGGGGGCCGCAGGCCATATTTGTACAGTACATCAACTCAACACCCGAACGTGGTCCTGACCTTTTCCCCCAGTATTCGGCGCAGATCCAGATCCAGATCCACCGAGGCGGAGGGAATTAGGTCTATGAGGCCGCGGCATGATGTAAATTCATTTCGACGTGTCTCACTGGCCAGGGCGGAGGAGGGTACTGGGTAGATTGAACTTCCTGGGGCTAGTCGCGGGGTGCAGCAGGGCGGAACAGCACCCCAGCCCAGCCCCCCAGTCTCTTGGCTATGGGCGTGGCGTCAAGCTTGCGGCAAAGAAATGCCGCAAAGTGCTCGTCGGGCGCGGCTATGGCGGCCCGCAAGGGATGCCCTGGTGGTCTGTACCGAGTACGGAACAGAGACTGTCAACACCATTCCTGCGGACGCGCACTCCGGTCGTGGAAAGTTGCTTGCCGTGAAAGTGATGCCGCCACGGGCGTAGCGGACGGTGCTCCTGGCCGGCAAGCGGTTGCCAGCAGAGAAAGTGACGATGCCACAGCGGCGTGGGAGGGAGCGGTCGTGAAGTGGCCGCTCTCCAGATCACGATAAATAACGAGTAATTCTCGCGAAGGACGGATACGGTTGAGATGGCGAGAATTAGTACATATCGTACACGTCCTCACACAGCACCGTCATCCGTGGTTGCGCCTGGTTACCATGGCTCACACGAACGGACTGTCAAATACCAATGAGGCTGACAACCATACACGGCTCGGCGCCCTAGAGAAGAGCACAAACGGAGGCGGCGGCCATGTTGGATCGCTCATCGCGGAGAGACCGGTCGACAGTGCCAGGCCCCTCAAGGTGCGCATCGCCGGCGCGGGCGTCTCTGGCATCATCGCGGCCATCAAGCTCCAGCAAATGGTGCGAGACGTGGATATTGAACTGTACGACAAGAATGAAGATGTCGGCGGCACATGGGTCGAGAATCGCTATCCCGGTTGCGCGTGCGGTAGGTTGCTGGGTCCCCACAAGTACGAGGTACCACGGTGTCGTTCAGGCTTTGGTTCACTAACACAGGGGCCGACAAACAAACAGACATCCCCGCCCACACGTACCAGCTGTCCTGGGAGTCCAATGTGGAATGGTCGCAGTTCTACGCCTCCCAGGCCGAGATTCTCAAATACTGGCAGCGTGTCGCCGAGAAGTACAATCTCCGCCGGTTGATCAAGTTTTCCCACCGAGTCATCGAAGGCCGCTGGCACGAAGATGGAGCCAGATGGGAGTTGAAGGTGGAGGATCTTTCCAACGGAGGATCCATCATCACAGAATCATGCGACGTCTTCATCACGGCCACGGGGATCTTGAATCAATGGGAGTGGCCTTCAATCCCGGGCTTGCACAGCTTTGAAGGCAAGCTGATGCACAGCGCGGCCTGGGATGAGAGCTTCGACTTCAAGGTACGAACGGCCCTGCTGTGAGACAGGTCACGATGTAATCTGTTGCTGATGTAGGGCGCCAACAACAGGACAAAAGCATTGCCGTCATCGGCGCCGGATCGTCCGGCATCCAGATTGTCCCTAGCCTTCAGCCCGTGGTGAAACATTTGGATCACTATGTCCGAGGCAAGACATGGATTGCCACGCCCATGGCGGCGCAGGAGCTCGAGAAGAGAGGCGCACAGGGCAGCAGCAACTTCTCGTACAGCCCGGACGAGATCGCCGCCTGGAAAAGCGATCCGGCATCGTACCTCGCGTACCGAAAACAGGTCGAGACCACGGTGCAAAGCGACCACGAGATCACCCTGCGAGGCAGTCAGATGCAGAAGATGGCCCGCGGCTACTTCGAATCGCTGATGACCCAGCGTCTGGCCAAGAAGCCCGAGATCCTCCAGCACATCCTGCCGGCGTTTTCGCCGCTGTGTAAACGACTCACGCCCGGCCCGGGATACCTCGAGGCCCTGACGGAAGACAACGTGGCCGTCATCCCCACCAAGATCGAGCAGGTCACCCGGACGGGCATTATGACCGTCGACGGCCAGCACCGCGCGGTGGACGCCATTGTCTGCGCCACGGGCTTCAACACCCACTTCACCAACCGTTTCCCGATCTACGGTCTCGACGGTGAAGTCCTGTTCGAGCGCGCCGACGGGCGGCCCAAGACATCCACCTATCTTTCCATGATGGTCGACACGCACCCGAATTTCTTCATGCTGCTGGGGCCCAACTCGGGCGTCGGCGCGGGCAACTTGCTCATCATCATCGAACGGCTGGTCGACTATTGCGCCAAGATGCTCGCCAAGTTACAGACCGAGCACATCCGCACCGTCCGACCTCGCCAGAGTCAAGTGGACGGCTTCACGCGCTTCACGGACGAATTCCACCGGCGGACCGTCTACAGCGAGGAATGTTCGTCGTGGTACAAGACCGAGGGACGAGTGACTGCTCTGTGGCCGGGCTCGAGCTTGCACGCCATCAAGGCCCTGGAGAGTCCGCGGTGGGAGGACTTTGACTACGCATACGTCGACGACAAGCCGATGGGGTGGCTGGGAAACGGCTCTGCAGTGGCTGACCATGATCGGAACGCAGACAAGGCATACTATCTGACGTCGACAATGTTACTGTCGTGAGCGAGGGATTCACTCACCTGTGGCTGGTGGATCGCCGACACAGCCCTGACTTGAGGGATCCAAAACTGTATTGATTGACCATGGTGATGATTTAATTTTGATGAATTTATCACTCGATAAGAAGTACTGTAGCGCCTCATTCCGAAGGCCGATCCAACCATCAAATTGCTATTTATGTATCAAATGCCACAATCCTTCCGTTCCCCTGGGGAGAGTGGAACACAGGTGCTAATGAGCCTTGAAGCATGAGATAGGGCATGGAGGATCTGACTGATAAGCTACAGTATGTACTATAGTTTCCTGTTCGGTATATATCGCCAGTGAATTCCCTCCGTCTGGCAACCTCACTCACTACATTCCCACAGCTGGAAATTACTCACTCCTCTCACAACGTCACTCACTGCCTTCCCATATCTGGGGAATATTTCTCACTCACTGCACCTCCATATCTGGAAATTTCTCCCTCAAACTGGGAAACAGCTTGAACGCGTTTCTCCACCCGATTTTCTCCCGATCTGCGTCATCAAAGCCTGCGTAAGAATTGAATGCCTTCTGCACCGCGGGCACAAGGCTTCCGGGAAGATATGGATCTGCAGGGCCGCCAAAAAAAGGAAAGGGTCAGCCATCCGCGTCGCAAAGGTGCGACATGCAACGTTTGTGCAGAGCAAGTAACAGGGGAGGATCAATTTTCCACAACTCACAATCACTTCCTGTCAAGATTCGATCCGCACCGACAAATTCCTTGATGCCCGCAAACTGCGCATCACTCATCTGCACGGCCGTGTCGTAGTAGAAGCTCTTCAACGCGGCCAAGCTCGCATTCAAATCTCGCCCACCGTGGATCGGGAGGGTGGTCTGCACGGCCAATCGGTCGCCCAGGCTTCCCATCGCACCGCCGGCGTGCGACCAGATGATGTTCACGTCCGGGAACTTGGCCCTCGCTTGGCGGAAGAGGAAGTTCCCGATCGCCCGCGTCGTGTCGAACGGGTACTCGATGACCGGGAGGGACATGTTGTGCAAGGGAGGCGACACGGCCGGAGCGGTCGGGTGGACAAAGACGGTGGCCTTGCGCCGGTTGAGCTCCTCGAAGATGGGGTCCAGTTCCGGGTCGCCCAGGTAGACGCCCGCGTAGTTGGTGTACAGCCCGATGCCTTCCAGCTTGAGCGTGTCGAGACAGTAGGCCATCTCGGCGAGCGAGCCCTCGACGTCGGGCAGGGGAAGGATCCCAAACGCGCCGAGCTCGCGAGGGTGCGCACGGATGTTCTCGGCAAAGTAGTCGTTGATGCGCCGGGCGAGTGGTCTGGCGAGGGCATTGCCCTTCAGGAAGGACAGGCCTGGAGCCGTGATGGACAGGATGCTAAAGTTGTAGCCGTGCTCGCGACGAGCGGCAAGATAGCTGTCGATGGAGAAAGGGTAGGGGGTGAGGAACCCGTCGACGTAAAGCGTCGAAACATTGTCGCCAGGGTAGCCGGCCGCGAACAGGGCTTCGCGGTAGAAGTCCGGGATCGGGTGAGTATGGACGTCGACCTCGAAGGAAGAGATCAAATCTGCTTGCTGCTGTGCCATGGTCGGCATGCAGGAGATTGACAGGCAAAGGAATGCCCCCAAAGAACGCTTGAACCAGCTGCTCATTATGAAGAGGCGGCCTTTTCATGTAAAACGTTTTCGGAGGGCGTCCACAGAATCACGTTAGGACTATAAAATTCCAACAGTATCAATTCCACGAACTCCGCCATCGTAGAGAAGTTATAGCAAGTGGATCCAGTGGTCATTGCGGAGAGCTCGTCACCCGACCCGATCGAGGGCCGTGGCCCTCGGGTTTTCGTGATACCATGGGGAACGGACACATCCGTTGTAGAATGCAGAAGGTCACAACGGAAGTGAAGAGTGCACCCAACAATGGAAGAAGGCTGTCGAAGCGGCTTGTTTCTGACACAAGATGTTGCTTGCGGGAAACACTACCCGCAAACGTCAACCACCCGCAGTTCCTCCAGATGATCGGCCTTGACGATTTCTCCGCATTTGGTGAAGACGACCGAAGATTGTAAACTGGGTTGGGTCGATCGATCGGAGGTACGGGCTGCTTGGACTGACTTATGAAGCTGTGTCTCGGCCCTCAGTCGGTGCTTCGTTAGTGCGCACCCATGATATCTTTCCAGGACGCCGTGACTATCAGCTATCCGTGACTACCAATTTGTGAACACTCGCAAGATGGATTCTTTGCTCGTTCAGCTCATCGAAAGGTCGGAAGCCCTTGCAAAGAACAGGGGGATCTTCAGGCTGATCTTGCTTGGGGGCTTCGGTTTATGTGTGGTGGCCATAGTGGGCTTGTACCAGCTTCTCAAGCCAATCGACAAGCGACGCTCGCCAACAGGAAAGAGATGGAAGCTTCCGCCAGGTCCGCGAGGTTGGCCCGTTGTCGGGGATCTGTTCTTGTACGCGAAAGGGGAAGAAGGCGTAAGTGACACTCTGGAAGGCTCCTCAGGCCAGGGACAGGGCTGATAGTAGCAATGCAGGCTCGGGAGATCGCACGATATGGTGAAATGACAACAACCCATCTCGGTTCCAAGCTCTGGGTGGTGCTGAACAGCAACCGACTCGCCACAGAGATCTACGCTCGTAAAGGTGCCGTCACCAATGGTCGACCTCACTATCCGATAGTCAGCGATTTAATCAGCCAGGCAAAGCGTTCGGTCTTATTGCCCACGGCTGAATGGAGCGAACGCCGCCGCGTGATGCACCAGTTACTGAGCGGAACGGCCATGACTCGATACATGGGGTATCAAGACGAGGAGAGTAGGGCCCTTCTCAACCACTATCTTGACCAGCCAGCTTTATGGTATCGACATAATTACTGTTATGCCAACTCGGTGATTCATCGCATCACGTTCGGCGAGCGCCCTGACGAGAAGGACGACAAAATTAGAGACGTCACACAAGCCCAATTCCAATTCTTGATGAATGCGCCCCCACTCAACTTCTGGGACTGTTTCCCGGGGCTTTCGAGGCTTCCGACCTTCCTACAATTCTGGCGAAAACGTTACGAGGAAATAGGTCAGTTCACTTACAATGCGTACCACGCTTACTGGAATCCCATCAAAGAAAAGATCCAGGCCGGGCAAGCTCCCCCTTCGTTCGCCAAAGACGTTATCCTCGGTGAAGGGAAATTTTCTGGTTCTGACACCGACAAGATGTTCCTGGCTATGCAAATTACCGAAGCTGGCAGCGATACAACTCGGTTAGCTATCAATATATTTATTCTGGCAGCGGTGACCCACCAGGACAAATTTCTCAAGGCTCGAGCCGAGCTAGACGCCGTCTGTGGAAGCAATGCGCAGAGGCTTCCAAGCTTTGGTGATGAAGGCTCAGCACCATATGTTCATGCGTGCATCAAGGAGATTTTCCGATGGAGGAGGATTTTCATCTGGACACCGGAGCATGAGTTGACTCAAGACCTAGAGTTCGAAGGATACTTCTTTCCCAAGGGCACCAACTTTGTGATCAACCATACCAACATCACTACCAATCCGGATCTCGTTGAGAGCCCAGAGAAATTTATGCCGGAAAGATGGCTGGATGGGAATGAACAGGACATACTCAACGGCATCTGGCAATTTGGAGCTGGCCGAAGAGTTTGTGTCGGATACAAGTTGGCGCAAAACTCATTGTTCATTAATCTTGCACGGTTGATTTACTGCTTTGACTTCAAGGCGGTAAGTGGGCTTGACCTTCAGCTATTTAACGTGACCGTACTGATCATGTTCTCAGAGGGAGCCGTTCGACGATAAGGATATCAACCATTTCACCCTGAGCGAGCCATTTCCGGTAGTGCCGACTGTTCGAAGTCCGGCATTCGCAGAGCTCATCAGACAGGCAGCAGTGAGAAGCAATGACGATTGACTAGCTGGACTGAGCTGCCGGGATGAGTACCGAGCGTTGTGTGGGGCATAATACTCCCGTGCGCATGTTGCTGGATCAGTGATGTCGTCTTCATAGCAGGTTGTAGGACGCTGTAGTCACGTACGCTGATGGAAGATGATGAGCATGTAGCTGAGATGCAGCTCAGAACAGAGAGATACCAGAGTCACGTGCATTCTGCCAAGGCCGCACATAGTCAGTCACGTGATAAGGACACTAGCGCTGGTCACGTGCTTAGGCAAATGCATCACGAACGTCTTCCAGAGCGCGAATGCCAACTGCAATTCACAGTCTGTTAATTCACCATACGGTGCACCGCGCAAGCATCCCTCACTCTGGCCGAATCTCCTCGTGCTCTGCCTCAGGAGAAACGCTCCCTGACTCGCCCATGGCTGGCGTGGCGTCGGTTTTCCGCACTATTGGTTCTTGGCGCACGAAGCGACTGGCCTGTAAAATCATCCCCCTTGGTTGGTGCCGATCTTCTCAATCTCCTGGTCAGTTCTCAGTGCTCACCCATCGCAGCTATTTGCTCTTACTGCCAAAGTAGTGAGATGAGCCAAGGATGAAGTTTGCCATGTAGCATCCATCGTTCTTGCATGGCAGAGTCCGCACCTCCAGCGCCGGCCGTGAGGATGCTGAAAGCCGAAAACAACGTTCCGCTAATGCAGGTACATAACCGCCGGCCGGCAGAAGCCTCTCCACTCCCTGTCAACCGCGTAGAGATTGAATCCTTGCCCTGGTCCTGTTCCTCGTCTCGAGTCTTGGTCGAGATTCAAGTACGACCTGAAGCTCCAAATGCGGGCAGGAAGCATTCTTCACACTACTTTGTACGGGACATGAGGATCATTTTTGGGTAAGCCACAGTATGAGTACGGAGTACTCTCTGCCAATGGTCCAACGGAAATTCAACATCTTTCGTGGCCGACCTCGACCTGACATTGCTATCCCTTCCTGGTAGTGGGTTTGGTGAGATGGAGCGCCTAACAGTGCTCCGTACAAGCGCCACCAGCTGCACGAATTCGGCCTTTACCAAAAGAAGCTTTGATGATTTTCCACGCTTTAACGCCCAGTGGCGCCCGCGATGGCTCCTCGTGGTCGAACTAGCCCGTGCGCATTCCAGTCGTTACCTTCGCTAACGCTGAGTGGTAAGAATGCCGCTCAGATACTCTCGGTTAATCAGCCTCGAGGAAGGCGTTTGACTCACGGAAAGTAAACATGTGCTTGTGGTTGCATGCGGTTGTTGACGAAGCGCAATACACGCCAGGTTCAACAACAATCCTTCGTCTTCCGAAAATGACATTGCACATTTCTCTCCAGCTCTTTATCAATCTGAACAATCTGTGTATAGCTCGCTCCTGAACTGCGACGCGAATCAGGAGTCGAGACTTAGTACTGAGACAACTATCAGCACCAGCGCCGCTCACTGAGACCATCTAACTTAGTCCAGAAGTGTCCAGAACGTGAAGTGGAACAATAACTTTGAGCTTCATCCGCGGAAGATCAGCGGGATCAGCGCCCTCAACCGGCATTCGACACGTGCGACAGCTTCCCCGGAGTCTAAATCGGGGTGATCAACAGATCAACGGATCAGCAACACATCGATATCAGCAAGAGAAAGTACATTCCGCGTACTCCGTACTCGTGCAACACTTTGGCGGCAAGATCTCTGTGGCGCGAGGCCTTGTCCATTACCACCATCGACGCGCATCTCAGCCCATAGCAGTCGTGTCTGCAATCTCGGCCAATGTGAACAAGTCGAAGTCACTGCACAGTAGGCTCGACTGAGCACTCTCAACGACAGTACCTACGCACCTACCTCCCTGCCTTGAGGGGCACTTCAAGGCGTCCGTTCTTTACCCACAACCACAGACCATGGCATCTCCTACCATGCGTCGAACAAGGCGGCCCGGCCAGCCTTATATAATACCAATTAAGAAGACCACGAGAGCAACGACGACACCAATGAGGACGACACCGATACCTACATCAATATCCCAGATAATGATACCAGTAATACTATTACTCCTCTGCATCCTGAGACCGACGTATGCGCAAATCATGGAATTCGACGCCCAGATCTACCAATCACCATTTTTCCAGGAGTTGGCCCTCAAGGGCGAAATACATAGCGCCCAAGGCCAACCACCGGCACGGCATGACATGTATCAGTACCTGTCCAAGAGGCAGGTAGACGACAGCGATAGCGACAGCGACAGCGACGATGACATTGAAAGCGCCGTGCCAACGACACTTGCCGAACCTACCTCGACCTCGACCTCGATATCGTCATCGTCCACCTCCCCCGAACCAACGAGCACTTCCTCCGCCCCCTCTGCCTCCATCATCACCACCGAAACCAAAACGTCCGACTCAACGCCCAGCGTCTCAATCTCGACATCCCCCTCCGTCACGGTGATCACCACCCCGCTGCCCACCCCCTTCGACACGTCGCTAGGCAGCAACTTCACAAGCCCATCCTGTCCACAATTCTTCTCCACCTTTCTAAGCAACGCGACATTCCAAGCTTGCGTCCCCGTATCGCTCCTCCTGCAGAACTCCAACTCCTTCTTCCGCGCCCAACGCTCAGTGCCCCTCCTCACGCAGACGCTCGACGCAGCATGCACGGCCCCGCTAGCGATCTGTTCGCCCTTGATGGCCAGCCTCGCGGCGCAGCTCATCGACGACGCGAATTGCGGCGACGACTACAGCCAGCAGAACCCGCTGGTCGTGCAGGCGCACGCGGGCCTTGTGGCGTACGAGCCCGTCTACCGCGCCACGTGTCTCAAGGACGACAGCGGCGCTACTCAAGACGAGGACGAGTCCAGCAGCAGCAGCGGTAAACCGTACTGCTTCGTCGAGGCGACCACCAACACGAACGCAAGCGGGTCCAATTCTGCGGACTTCTACCCCTACTACACGGCCATCGGGCTGAGCATGCCCTTAACGGCGAGGCCGTCGTGTTCGCAGTGCCTCAAGGAGACGATGGGCATCTTTGCCTCGTACGCGGAGAATGCCGTCCAGCCGCTTTCGAAGACGTACTTGACCTGTGCGGCGCAGGTGGATAAGAGTTGCGGGAGTGGGTTCGTGAGTACGAACGTCGAGGTCGGGAGTGTGGCGAGTCCGAATGCTGCGGCTGGGCCGGGCGCCTTGATCCCGAGTGTATCCTCGCTGGTTATGCTCGTGGGATTTATCCCGTTAGTGGCCGGCGTATTGTAAATCCAAGTCTTGACAAGGTATTGGGTAGATATCCCGAGGATGTACAACAAACCTGGATATTGCGCTTGGGTCAAAGAGGTTATGGGCACCATGGCGGGCGGGGGAATCACCCACAAAAGTGTGTATATATATATGCAGTCAGGGCTGGGCGGGTATCAGGGCGCTACAGCACCGACCATCAGGGGGATGAGTTGAGTCACTTGTTATCTTGAGCGAAGGCGTTTGGGCCTGTTGGACGATTGCAATGATTTATAGTGACCTCCCACTTCCAATATAAATGTGTGATATATGGCCGCATTCTCCTCAAAACCGTCCAGACTCGTGCGCGTTCGCCTTCCCTTCCCTTCCCTTCCCACTGGATGGCCTCTTGTCGGAGCTACAGCGGTCCTCTCGATCCATCTATGGAGCCGAGCTCGCGATACCGTTCTGCAGTACAATTCGTGGTCCGGTCCTGTCATGAGTCGGACGCATTCTTCCATCAATGCAATCCCTCCCCTCCCCTCCCTCTCGCCTCCCATCCGCCGCATAGAACATTTTCGCGAGGTTGTGCATCCTTAGCAGCGTGTTGCCGCGCTGTTCTTCGAGTTGTTTCTCTGCGAAGGAAGGGCAAGACATTGCTCCCATCACGCTCGCGGCTTCGTCGACACGGCCAAATCCTTCCCTGGCGAAAACGAAAACCACGTCAAACATGATCGTAAGCGTCGCATTGTGCCTTTCCCCAAAGAAGCGCTCGTTTCTTTTCCAAATAGTGGTGAAGAGTTGTCCTGCCTCCACAAGTCGACCTTGCCTGCTGTACGTCTCTGCCAAAAGTGACACGACGCACAGTACGTCAGGGTATTCTTCTCCCAGCACCCTCTGCATGGTATGCGAGCCAGCAGTGGCCAACAGCTCTGTTTTGTCTAGGTTGTCCTGTCTGGAGTATATACTCGCCGGATCGTCCATGCTGAGCGAGCGTGCAGCGTGCTAGGATGCTCCTTTCCCACTGTCACCTTAGCCGCCTCCACGACAGCTACGAGCAGTTGTTTTCGGCATCGCGGAAAAACGGCCTCGGTCGATATACATTACTGCCAAGTGATACCTACTTGCCTTGGTGTGAGGATTATCTGCGGCCGTTGACTTCACCACCGATATAGATATCAAATCGACCCTCGTGTCGTTTGTCGCGCACTCTGAGGGTTCCTCCGGGTTCGATGGGGAGGGTTGCAAGCCAAGCGACGGTGTACAGTAGGCGTCCCGCACAGAGGTATCACGCCCTGCTTGAGGAGTCGGCAGCGACGGCGGCGGCGGCATCCACGTGCGATCTTTGAGCACCATCAGCACGGTGCTGTTCCTCACCTCATCGTTTGTTGCCGCACTCTCCTGATGGCTGCTGCGCACAGTCTCCTAAACCGACACAATATGGATGCAATAACCAAGGACATTGCTCCAAGAAGACCTAGGTTCGACGTAGCATCTCACCTCTTCACGGCAACAGAGGTCCGTTCAGAACAAATCCATCAAGGGCTGGGATTGTGGCTGCCTCTCATCGCTCGAAGCTCGAAGCTCGAATCTCGTATTCGCGTCGACGAGCCTGTAGCAACCGCGCGACCAGTTTGCCTCTTTCAGTAGCCAGTAGCCGGCCGATAGCACCCATGTAGGGCAACGCAGGTTCAAGGCGGTGGTTAGTCAAGACAAGAGAGGCTGATTAGCACAAGAATCTTCCGTATCATGGGATCACCAGTGCCGTGTACGATTCTCACGTTTCTTCCCACCGGGGATCCCCCAAAATGCAAGACATCGTTGGCCTCTTGATTGGATCAAGCTCCGTCATCTTCAGTATCACCCTCTTTGCCTGGGCGTTGAGATTTGGGAGAATGCCTTCATCCCACTGTTCGAAGCGTATGCTTGGATCTTCTCCCGCCACAACGTCCGATAACACTCTCGATAACTCACCCCAATACTCGTCGTTGACATGGGCAATGAGCCCAGGCGGAGCTGGCCCGAACATCGAGAGCAATTGATACAAAATCAGCTGCTCGGGTTCGACGCCGTCCTTTTTAAGCTGCTCGAAGTCTGGATGCAGAGCCTCCACGCCTGTAATAGTGTAGAGACACTGGACGCCAACGTTTAGTATCGGGTTTGTTATCGCGGCAAGGTTCTTCGCTCCTGCTCACTCACAATCAAACCAAAAGAAAAGACCTCGGACGGTTTTCCGATCCCCTTGCCTGTCTGTCCTTCCGGGCTGCGCCACATGACGTTGCCAATCCTGTGATCGAGCAGCTGCTCGCCCATGAGCTGTAAAGCGCAGTCCAGGTCTGCCCAAGCCACTCGTTCGACTATGAATCGTCCGTTCTCATCGACATTCCAGTCGATCATAGCATTGTCGGGCTTCGTGTCTGGATAGCCTAGTTAGAATCATTTTGGCAGAGGAAGAAGAAGCGACTCTGTATGAATTTCGTGCGTGAATAGTACCTAAATGTATCCAGTTTCGAGAGTGCAGATCTTTGAGCCCCAGCCCCAGATTTCGGAGGATGGATTTTCTCGCCCCAAGGGGAAGGTCCGGACGATTCTTGACCAAGGAAAGTAAGTTGTCTTTGTAGTAGTCGTAGAGGAGAACGCGTTCCGCCTCGTTGTCATCGAGGCGTGTTCGAAGGCGAGGACTGTCGCCAAACTCATCTTTCAGCTCCTTGGAGAGTTCCAATATCGACTGCGAGACGGGCTTCAGGAGGAAGGCGCGATCCTCACAGCTAGAGTCCATGTCCGTTCGGTCAGCCATGAGATCGACTGCGTGGAAGACTGTGAATGAGTGCTGCGGACTTACTGCGCAAGGTAGATGTTGAGTTCCGGTTTGTGAGGATGAGCCTGGAGAATCCTGTCACGCGTGTACACTCGGCCAGAACGGCCAGTCAAGGTGGAGCACATTCTCGCGAATTTTGATCTTGCCAACCGAACAAAGGGCATGGCGACGGCGACATCGGTGGCGACATATTGAAGCACGGTGGGGTTGGCGGATGGTAGTGGTTGTTGAAGCCTTCTTTCTGTACTTCCTCAAAACACATGAACCGACGGATTTGTGACGCCTTGGCATTCAATACAGTACGGTGTACCGTACTTATCATCACGTGATATTGGGACTATCTGGCTGTGAGTGGGCAGGTTACCCGACAGTTGGCCAGACAGCGCCCAGAGGTATCATTAACCGTAACCCCCTGTGTCAAGTACCGTATTGTTTACGTAGGCCTCTGTACCTAGGTAACTATGTAGTCAGGTCTGGCCCAGACCCCTTTGAATTGATCATGGCCTCCGAACGAGGCACATGGCTTGTGCTCTGGTCATGGGGAGTCTTTCCACGTTTACAGTATCATTTCGATGCTATTCTGGACATATATGTAGCCTCGCTGACAATCAATTCTGCAGCCTAGTTCCGCAAAGTCCTGCAGCGCACCACCATCGGTACTGCTTGTAGCAATCCACAGACAGCCTACAGGAACCCTGAGCTATCTACCTGCAAAGCAGGATCCCTCCATGCTTACCGGCCTTGAGTCTGGACTTTCCATTCACCCCGTCCGTGGCCCCAGAAGTTATGGTCCCACATAGCCTGGAACTGTACGTGTCCATGGTAGTTCTTGAACTGCATGACAGACCGGCCATGTCGATCCGGCTTCGTCTTCGGATACCAGCCATATTCCTCCAGGCGGCGCGCCGATATGCGAGAGCTCCCATCGTTTGTGTCCAACACAACGCCTTGGAGGAGGAGGTTGAGGATCATCTCGTTGGCGTTGTCTGAAGTAGGGTCGGGAATCCAGACAGGCAGCCTGACTTCCCCGACATCGCCAATCCGGTTTTCTAGTATACCAGGCACGGTGGTGGCATGGTCGCTGCCATTAAAGTCGACGATCCATTTGCCATAGTCGTACAGGCGGCCGTTTACGGGCATGATGGAATGATCCTGTGGTCTGATGTCGTAGACGTTGAAGTTGCGAGTTTATGTGCTTCGGAATGAGTGATCGGTATATGTATACGAGCGGTTTGATGGGAAACCAGGGCATGATAGTGGACGGGACAACGAGTTATATAAGGGGGCGAGAAGGTGCAAACGAGTACAGGCGAGATTGACTGACACGGGTTTGACACCAACACCTTCAGTTGGAACCACTCGACACTTCGTCTGCCACCTGCCACTAGGTGTTGCACAAACGGACCCAAAATGGCGGCGACGGAACTCACGGGGGTGAGAGACCATGCCATTGTCGTCGCAATGACAGCTGCCAGCGACACCTGTCGAATAGTTCGTTCCGCTTGTGATGCAGACTCTGAGAGCCAAAGTGATGCCCCTGGAGGAGCTGAGTCACGCGTCGTTGCTCCAGAGGTATGAAGAACGAAGACAACCTCCATAGCCTTGCGGCAGTCCTTACCCATTCCGCACTCACTGAAACAACTGGGAGCACTTGTAGTCGCTGGGGGATTTGGTCAAAAGCCCAAAGACCACAGATTCTTGCGATGATAAATTTGTCAAACCGTAAGCACCCGGTGTCAGGAGTTCAACCAGAACTTCGCACATCAAAGCTGGAGGGTGACAGGCTGATAAGAGTTGCTCGTCGTGTGCCTGAATGGCCGTAAAAAGGCGAGTACTCGGCACTCCGATTGAGCGCTTTCGACGGCATGATTAGAACTTCCTGCTTAGCACAAGACAGCCCAGCAAACACTCGTTCATGAGGCCGGCGCCCTGAGCGGCTATTAGGATGAATATGATGACCTTTGTGAACCAGCGTGAGTTGACAAGAAACCAGAAGGCAATAAAAGCTCGAGAAAGACCACTACGGAACGGCACTTCTACCTCCCCGTAAAGCCGTTATTGCTTACTCCTCCGTAGGAACTTACCTCTCGCGCAAATCGACTTGACGAATTAATCAAAGGCATACTCCGTAATGGATCAGAAGCGACGAAAAGCCATCTAGGTAAATGTGAGCAGATTTTTCTTCAGATCCATGGCAGATGGCAAGTACTATGCCTGTGTTCCTGTCCAGGCGCAGACTCGATCTAACTTGCGGAGATATAAACCCTGGCTTCGAACGGCTGCAGACGATCGACGACGACATCGTCCACGTTCGCAACAGCCAAGCTGAAGTCTGCACCTTCGTCGGCCAATACCGAAGAAACAGTCACCTTCTTCTCCTCCTTCGACAAGTTGGCGACAGTCAGCGCCTTCTTCCCGTTGTCTCCTTCTTTCACGAAGACCGCAAGCTCGTCATCCGCCCCTGAGCTCTCGATCTCACTGAAGCGGCCATACACAAAGATGTCCTTGTGTGACTTCCTCAACCTCAGCATCTCCTTCCAGAACTCCAGGACGCTGCCCTTGTGGCCGACCTGGTCCTTCACGTTGATCTGCTTGTGTGATTCTAGCACGCTCATCCATGGTTTGACGTCATCTGGGCAAAATCCTGCATTTGCGGCCTCGCCTTCCCATTGCATCGGCACACGAGCATTGTCGCGGGCCATCATTTGCAGGATATCCAACGCCTCTGACATCGCCTTCGGATCGTTGTTGGTTTTCTCCCGGACCTCCGCGAGATGCGAGACCGACTTGATGCACTTGTACTCCTCAGCGGGCCACGACCGAGGCACGTTGATCATGCCAATTTCTTGTCCCTGGTAGATGAACAGCGTCCCGGTCAGTGTAGCCAGTAAAACCGCCAGCATCTTGGCAGCAGGGCCGCGGTGGTCGGGTAGGTCGGAACCAAAGCGCGATACCGAGCGGCCTTGGTCGTGGTTCTCCAGGAAAACCGTCGTCCATGCGTCGGTGTTCTCAATCACAGACTGCCACTTGAAGAGCTCCCGTTTGAAGTCTCCTTTTGCAAATGGCCGTGGTAGAAAGCGGTTTCCGGGAGTCTGGCCAAGGTCGACCACGTCAAAATTGAAGACCATGTTCAATTGCTTGTTGCGGGCGTATATGTATGCCATCACGTCCGCTTGATTCGGCGTATATGGAAGCTCTCCGACCGTCATGACATCGTACTGGGCGAAAATGTCGTTCATCTCGGACAGGTATTCCTGCATCCGAGGCCCATTGGCGTAGTACATGTATGCTGGCTGAGACTCGAGGTCGGGGTAAACGACTGCAGCATCAGGGAGGTCTGGATGTTTCGAGTAGAGATTGACCGTGTCGATGCGGAAACCATCAATGCCTTTGTCGAGCCAGAATTTGATAGAGCTCTGATAGATTGCCTGCCTGCACTCTGGATTCTCCCAGTTCAAGTCTGGTTGCTCCGGGGCGTAGAGGTGAAGATAGTACTCTTGCCTCTGCTCATCCCAGGTCCACGCCGGCTTCGAGAAATTGCTTCGCCAGTTGTTGGGTCGACATCGCTTACCATCTTTGTCATACTTTGCCGGACGCCAGATATACCAGTCGCTTTTAGGGTTCGTCTTTGAGGACCGGGATTCCTGGAACCAGGAATGGAGATTGGACGTATGGTTAATAACCAAGTCAAAAATAATGCGCATACCTCGGCCGTGAACAGCCCTGATCAACTCTTCTGTTTGCTCGAGAGTGCCGTACCGTTCGTGGATATCCTCGTAGTCTTGGATATCGTAGCCCATGTCGACTTGTGGGCTCTTATAATGCGGGCAAACCCAGATGACATCGACGCCGAGCCCACGGAGATAGTCCAGCTTCGAGATGATGCCAGGGATGTCGCCGACGCCATCACCATTGCTGTCTTTGAAACTTGCCGGGTAGATCTGATACACCACTGCTTCTTTCCACCATTTTCGGTCGTGCTGTTGCCTCAGTATCTCAATCATTGTGGCGGGCTGGGTTGGAGACACAGACTCGTTGACACGGGGCCGGTCCAAGTTTAGAACTCAAAGGCTTGACGGTACTCTGTTAGATATAGGTAGGATCCAGGGAGCTCCGAAGCGGGTGTCTGGAGTCGACTGACATGTCACTTTCGCCAGTCCTCCAAATGCGGGATTTCGCGTGGTGACCCTCCTACAGACATTGTTGAGCGCTGACAGCTCCACAACGAATGGGTCTGGTCGTCACGAGCACTGAATGATGGCCCAGAAGCGCTCCTTTCTCCACAAGATGTTTGGGTGGCACATGGCTTGTCGTCGGCAAAGCTCGCGCTAAGATGGGGTCGCCGACGCAGCCGATCGGCAATGAAGCCAAGCACGCACAAGGTACCATTCCCAGGCCATACGGGCATCCTCCGCCAGCAGCATAAGCGACGCTGCCGACGCAGGAATCTTTAGCCTTTTGTTGCCCTTACGGCGTGCCCGAGGAAGCGGCCGCGAAGGCAGGTCATCGCTGTCTTCCTCAGCGCATGTCGCTACCGTTGTCTCTTTCAAGGCTGGCACACGGTGGAGATGTTCGGCTGCACCCCAGTTTTGTCCATGTGCCATCTCCAGGCTTCTCCGCTGGAGAAAACCCGGTACTTGGGATCTGGATTGCTACCCCTGGCGCGTTATACATAAGGATCTCATGACCCCTTCTCGAAAGAACGAACATCTACGCCTTTCACTGAGATTCTGATCCAGAAGCACGAGGATCGCGTTGCGAAGCGCTCTAAGCCTCTGCCTCGTCATTTGCCCTGTCTTCTGTGTTCTAGCTTTTCAACATGTCCCATGTCGAAGACGTCAAGCAGCCTGTCGAGGCTGGGTCCGAGCCTGTCAGTGCTCAGAAAGCCGTCGTCCAGGAAGCACAAGCAGCTGCCGAAGTCGAGCATGAGCTGGGCTTGTTGAAATCCATCAAGCAATACCCCAAAGCGATATGTTGGTCTGTCCTTCTGTCGACTGCGATCATTATGGAAGGCTACGATCTGCTGTTGATGTGAGTATAGCGGGCGTGAAAGAATGGTTATGAATAGGGCTGACGTCCAGCAGGGGGTCATTTTACGCCCAGCCTCCATTCCAAAAAAGATACGGGAAACAGCTTGAAGATGGCACATACCAGATACCTGCGCCCTGGCAATCTGGCCTGTCAAACGGTGCCTCAGCTGGATCGATCATCGGCCTCATGTTCAATGGATATCTCTCCGAGCGATTCGGATTCAAAAGGACAATGCTCGGGGCTCTTGCTCTAATCACCGCGCTCATCTTTATTCCGTTCTTCGCTCCTAGCCTGGAGGTCCTCGTGGTCGGTCAGGTCTTGATGGGGATTCCTTGTAAGCTTGCCGCAAGTTGCGTGACGACCGAAGCTGACTGGTACAGGGGGTATTTTCCAGACACTCACAACGGCGTATGCGGCCGAGGTAACACCAACACATCTCAGAGCTTATCTCACAACATATGTCAATCTGTGCTGGGTATGTATACGTGCTGGAGTAAGATGAATGCGCTGATAATTTGTCTCCAGGTCTTTGGTCAGCTCCTTGCATCGGGCATACTGCGTGCTATGCTAACACGGGATGACCAATGGGCATACCGAATGTAGGTACAACGAACTCGGATAGGGTGTCCATTGCTGATGATATCGATAGTCCTTTTGCACTTCAGTGGATTTGGCCCATCCCGCTGATCGTCGGTATTTCTTTCGCTCCTGATTCACCATGGTGGCTCGTCAGGCGAAATCGCATCAGCGATGCGAGAGCGGCACTTGCTCGGCTCACATCAAACAATGGAGCTGTCGATCTTGACAAAGCCATTACTTTGATGGTATACACGACTGAGCATGAGAAGGAGCTGGGCACCGGCACCTCATACCTCTCTCTCTTTAAAGGAATCGACCGTCGCAGAACGATCATCGCCTGTGGTTGTTGGCTGATCCAAACCTTATCCGGATCCAGTTTTCGGTGAGTAAAGCTCCATCGAGGCACTGGTCCAACGTTGATCATCCTAGGACATACTCGACCTACTTCTACAAGCAGGCTGGGCTGCCGACAGACCAGGCTTTCAACATGGCAATCGGCCAATATGCGCTGGGTATTGTGGGTGTGATCTGCGCGTGGTTCCTTCTCCCTCGATTCGGCCGCAGAACCTTTTACGTCGTCGGTCTTCTCTGTATGACAGGCCTGCTCTTCATCATCGGGATCCTAGGAGCGGTGTCCAACCCACCGACAACAAGTATTGCATGGACAGTGGGGTCCTTGCTGTTGGTGTACACGTTCTTCTACGACATTTCTGTCGGACCCGTCTGCTACAGCCTGGTCTCTGAGATCCCCTCGGTACGACTCCGCAGCAAGTCCATTGTCCTTGCTCGAGCATCATACAACTGCCTGAACATTGTGACAGGCGTGATAACGCCCTATATGCTCAATCCTGGAGCGTGGAATGTAAGTGCTGCTGCGACGAATACATACCAATGATGCTAACGACTGTAGTGGGGAGCAAAAACCGGATTCTTCTATGGCTGCACATGTCTGCTGAGCCTTGTCTTCACATTCTTCTGCATTCCCGAACCCAAAGGCCGTACTTTTGCGGAGCTCGACATCCTCTTCCAGAAGAAGACCCCTGCGAGAAATTTCGCGACGACGCCTGTAAATCTCTACGAAGCGGCTGTTGTCGAAAAGTACGAAAGGGAGTGACGGTCGAGCTTCTGGCGACACGAGCGCGTGCCAGTGACAAAAGCCATGATAGTATTTGTTGAGAAAAGCTCAATGCTGTGCTTGTTCATCATATGAAGGGCGGAGGAATGCCAAATTTCTCGATGCATAAGTATCGGCAGTCGACCCGTTCTCCTTTCTGCCGTTGTTGATCGAGGACAGCTTCCAGGAAGAGTGCGAAGAAGTCACTGTGACAGGTCGGTCTTCTGATTTGTTGAAGCATCCGAACTGCCCACTTGCCGCCCTCTTCATCTGCTTCCAGGGCATAGAAGAAGATTGGCCACATGAATCCCGGACTGACCGCGCCGCTGTTCTGTGTAAAGTTTTCGTCCACAATGTGACGGACGTGTTGCATAGCTTCTTGGGCTTCCGGTGTCGGAGTCAGCCATTGGCCGTGTGCCCGTCCTAGGTCGACTATCTCGATGTGATAGGCTGCATTGCACAAATCGATAAGGGTCGCCAGTGAATTGGCAAATGGAGCTGGGATGACCGACCGGAGCTCTTCGGGTCTCAGCTGCAGAACGCTAGGCCTCTGTTGATATAAGGACTGAAGCTGTTTTCGGATGTTTTGTGCGACTTGGTCGACTTCAGTTTCATCCATTAGTGAGCCCCTGGAGCGATGGTGGCGATTCAGACCACAAAGGGAGGCTCCAATCTTCTGTGTCTGCATGTAGAACTCGAATAGCTGAGATGACAGACTGTCATAAAGAATCGAGGGTGGCGAGGGGTGTTGGTCCAGCAAGATAAGACTGGGTGTCGGGCCTGAATCATAGGAGAGAAGTCGACTGACTTTGGCGCACATTAGACCCCTCCCGCCTAGATGCAGGGCCTTGACATGAAGTAGCTTCAGCCAGGTCTCGACACGACACGCCACGGGAGGCCAAGGTCTCAGCTTGGCCCATTGCTCAAGCTTGTCCACGAAAGCGCCCTCCGGTTTCATTGTGACCGATACGGTCTCTTGCTGGGCTACTATCTCAAAGCACAGCAGTAGGAACGCAGCCATGATGGTCGGTTCAAAACCTGGGTCCAATTCCTCGAGGAGCGTCGCGTGACTGGCTTTGGCGGCGTAATATAAAGCGATGGCATTCGTCGTATCCCACCCGTTCTCTTCTGCTTCGTACAGCGCTTGGACGGCTATAATTGCAGAGGCAACCACGGAGTCGCGGGACCCAAGATCGGCCAGATATTGTCTCATGCGTATCCAGTTATCCCGGTCGAAATGAGATATGAAAGGCGGTTCCAATTTCTCGAGGAAGTAAGGGAATTTATTGAGATTCGCTGCGGTCGCAGGTACCGATGCCGCAATATTAATTGGTTGTTGGTTAGTGTTGCTGTCAGCGCTGGCAACTGTATGCAGCATAGGATCGACGTAACTGCTTGCCAATAGTAAAGGGTCCACGTTGGAAGGCGCAAATCTCGGGCTGCCGTCGAGTGTGCCGACCGGATCAACGCTCAACGGAGCTTGACCCCATGAGCCGTAAGTGCCAAATGGAGACACGGGGAAGTTGTCGAATACGTGCATCGCATCTTGGGGTGCAGCGATTGACTCTGTGGATGGTAGCCCATGATCGATGCTTGGCTGGCTCTTCCCTGGACTGCTGCTGTGAGTGGGTGAAGAGTCGTCCTGATAGACACAGACCCGCCCGAGTCTGTCACACTGCAAAGAGAAGTCAGCCATTGTCATCTCGGAGATCCCGGGGGAATGCGGACGGTGCACGCACACTACGGCACGTAGGCTTCTCTTCTGAGCATTTGACCTTCCTTTTCCTACACGTCAAACATCCGCTGCGAACTCGTATCCGAGGTGGCACTGTGGTGGCAAACCTGCCGTGGACCATTGAAGTCGTCCTAGACATTTCAAACGCGTAGGGGTCGGCCCCGTTCTGAGCAGATCATCTTTTGCAAGAGAGCAACAGACACAGGAATGGCAGCCTTGCGCAAGCTGGAAGAATGGGAGGTAGTGACATATCCATGCCGCGAGATTCGAGTTCAGCTCTGTCGCCAAGACGGGATGAAGATGTTCCTCTCCGGGAGAATGTTAGCTGACCAGCAAGGGTGAACGGATCCCAAGACTGCCATTACTCTACGTATGCAAGGATACGGACCAAACCAGAGATACGACGAGATGGTCTAGCCGATGGTGAAGGCGACGGTGGCAGAACCGTGCAAACCCTACGATAGAGAGAACGATAGGATTAGAGTCATTCAGACGGCAGCATCGTCCTGAAGACGGTGCGTATCTGCACAGTAGCTGACCTGAAATGGCCTCAAGAGCCTCGAAAAGCTCATATGATTTACGAGAGGTGAGGGAAGAATACGATGAACTCCATGTGAAAGAAGTGTGAAGTGTGAAGCTTCACATCTACTTCACACCGACTTCAAAGTGGCACCAACGGTGTTGGTTGGCTTACATAAGGCGCGCCGACTCCAAATCTTGAGTGCTTCCCCAGATTATTTTGGCTTCAGCACACGCTGTCCAATACAATCATACAAGTACATTACCATCGTCTTTCCCTGCTTACATTCCCCTGTCAAACACCGCAGGGATGGCGTCTCCTCCCCAGAAGGTGTCGCTGTACTCCAGCAACGGTACGATGTCAAGCTCCGTTTTCGCGGGGCTGTCCCATCACTGACGATCCACAGACCTCAAGAACGCAACTGACGATGCCCTGGCGCCATACCTCACTAGTCTGCCGAAACCGTACACGTTCAAACAAGACCACTTTACTACCAACATCAGACTTGCTCTAGGCTATACCGCCGTCCTCATCGCGGGAGCCTTGTTCTACGCAGACTGGAAACTCGGCTGGGATGCCACCAAGCCGTACACTGGCCCTGCTTGTGTCTCATACTTCGTCCTGAATGGCATCCTGACGTACTGGATCTGGGCTGTCGAGGCGGGCACGGTCTTCTCTGGCGTTCGAGAAGGAGGACAGCGGGTATGTCTCCAATCGCTTATGCACTTTTGGCAAATGCCCGGCCTGCTGACACTCTCGTAGCTAACCCTCCGCTCCTCCACGCAAAAGTACGTACCCGAATACAAACTCAAGGTCACGTACAGTGCTCCTTCGACAGGCAAGAATTGGGAGGACAAGGAGATCACCGGCAAATTCACCCAGTGGTTCAACACCCACGGATACCTCCAACACAAGGAGTTCCAACAGTGGCTGAACAGTAATATCGATGTCTTGAAGACAGCACAGGCGGAGCTGAGCAACAAGGAGAAGTCCAGCGAAAGAATACCTGTGCTGATGCCAGCCACCAAGGCGGAGGAGATATCCATGTCTGCTGCAGGGCTAGAGACGGCGAGCCCTGTGCCCGCGAGCGTGAAGAAAAGCCGTCCAAAGAAGAAAGCTTGATGGATCAATGTCCGTGAAAGCTGGACGCTACCCATTCGAATACGTGAGCTGGTACGAATATCCCGTTTGGCATCTTCTGCTCTAGCTGGTGGAATAGTCCAACGAACCTGAATGGTACCCCTTTCGGCTTATTCGGCAAAAGGTTTGTCGGCAACCCGCGCTCAACAACGCGGGATTCATAAAGATGTTTGTTCGGAAGGTATATACAGCCTGACCATGGATCAGCACCTCCAGCCAGATGGGCCGGGATATACTAGAAAGTGATGCCGATATCTTAGCGGCCTCACCAGCCAACAAGCGTACCAACACGGGCTCCCTCGCTAGAGCACCTTGCTGGATCTTGGAAATTGGAGCATCTCCTCCACTCGACGTCTGGACTCTGCACTTCAGTACTCACGAGGTACTAAGTATAGTGCAGGACCACAGCAGCCTGTCCTGTTCCCTGCAAAATCGCGGCTCGACACCCGGCCAGCGAGAGCTTATGCGCTGTTGACGACGCATTCTGCCATCAGGTCTTCGTTCCATTTCAGCAGCTGTCGCGACGTCCGAAAACCATGGCCCCTCACTATCCTTGGATTACCTCAACTAGCCGTCACCACCTGGAAGAAGAGAAAGCTCTGCCGTTCGTGTACGCTTTCGGTCTCCGGATCCGAAATATCCGCCAAGAAGCAAATGATCGATCGACTTGGAGACATGTATGTCTGCTCACTAGCATAGTCTGCGCCCGGACTACACATCTGGCAAGCATGATCTGAGCGAGCGAGCGAGCGCGCGCGCATATTTTTTACACCAGTGCTCGAGTTGGTGAGTGGCTCGAACTTTAGGAGTCAACAACATAGACGAACGAAGAAACTTAGACATGGCATTTTTTCATTGCTCCGATACCCGCATCGCGCGCCATGTCACGCCAGGCCACGTGAAAGCATAGTACAACGTGCCGTAGCATAACGTACTCCGTAGCATAGCACTGCTCCTGCATCTCATGCTTGCATTGCACTGCATTCCAAATTCAAAGGGAAAGGCGGTGCAGTGAAGCCATGGTCCGCATCTATCATGATTGTGGTGTTTGTCCTGCCATTCACAAACGTCCAGAACTTCATATGTCGCCAGAACCTCACCACAGGTACCTCTTCGCCATACGCTGCTCGGTCGTCTCCTTCCTCTCCACACTGACTCTCTCTGTCATGGCCTCCGGTTCCGGCGCCGGCTCAGTTCCTGGTACAGGCTCTTGGTTTTAGGGTATCTCGCCCACCCCGCCCGCCGTCGTCTGGCTATGACAAAACACCAATAATCCCTTGCGCGAGGCCCCCACCCGTGTCGTCCGTCCGCACGGACACCTTGACGGTAACACCCGTTTTGGCCGAGTAGACCATCTTTACCAGCGCGGCGACACGGCCACCCGTGACGGATTTGCCGTACAACTTGAGCGTGTGCGTCGTGTTCGATATGACCACGTCTGTGCCTTCGAGAGGTTGCAGGGACAGCGCGGAACTGAGTTGCTCTGCAGCATCTGTACCACATGCATCGTTAGCAAAACCCGCTCCCTAGTCGACACAAAGGAACACAATGGGGAAAGCCTACCACCCAGTCCCTTGACACTCGCCCCACCCAACACAAGCGTCTCGCTCACCTCCTCCCCGCTGGCCCCTGTACCCTCCCAGACGTGATCAAAACTGCCTGTGAAAGCTGGGCTCACAAAATCGGCACCGCTGAGCTCAAGATTCTCAACCTCGTATTCATCTTCGTAACCTCCTTCTTCGGCTTCTCCAGTAACAGGGTCAATTTCTTTGGACGTGAATTTGAGGACATTGGTGAATGTGGTGATGGGGAAGGAGGATTCGCCGTTGACCTTGCGGAATGCGACGTATACAATTCCTGGTTCGTTCGTTTTCAGAGTGGTGGCTGGGATGATAAATTCTTCTTCCAGGGTGGGCTCTTCTTCTTCTGCTGGCGAGGCCAGGACGGTGACGTTCTCGAGAACGGTTGATTCAAGAGTATTCTTGATGTCGTACTGGATGACTACGTGCTCTTTGAAGACATGTTTCACAGCGGAGACGACGTATTCGGTCTCGGACTCGGTGAGGTCCACAACATTGCTGGACTTCAGGACAGCACCGTATGCTGCAAGTTCGGGTATCCGGGAGAAGGTTTGGGTGTATTTCTGTGCAGCTGCTGCGCCGGCGGCAGGACCTTCTGCGGCGCCGTTGGCCTTGGGTTTCGCAGGACCGGTACTTGGTGCCTTGAGTGTCGGTGTGGCGGTGGTGAGTTTCTTGGTGCGTTCTTCTGCAAGTGCTTGTTCATGTGAAACGACTGGCACAGAGTTGATATCAAATGCCTTGGCAAAGACAGACTTGTCGTTGGATGTGACGTACATGACGAGTTTGTGTTCGAACGTCGAGAGGGAAAACATTGAATCGTTCTTGATGAAGCGTTCAGCGATGTCATCTTCCTCTTGCATCAGCCGGAGGTTCAGCGCCGCTCGGTCTCGAACCTCGTCGTCAGTGTCGTCCAGACACCTCTCCAGCAGAACTCGTACACTTTTCTTGACTTCGGGGTCTTTTTGTCCCACGCCAAATTTTGCCAGGGCCGTGACCGCGGCGGCACGGACCAGGGCGTTTTCGAGAACAACTCGGTTGTAGATATACCGAATGTACTTGGTAGGCTGAGGTGTCTTTGGCCCTTCGACACCAATGAGATGCAAGATCCGTACCGCCAACTTCGTAAATTCGCAATCCTCGATAAACTCGCAAAGATGTGAAAGAGTCTCTTCTTTGCTTCCCGGAACGAACTTGATCAGGTCAAACATGCTCTCGACAACAGCACGCTTGAACTCATAACCGCCCTCGTCCCTCAAGATCCCACTCAAGAATGTAAGCATGCCAGCCTGTTTGCTGGGGAATTTCATGCATAAGGTCCGAATGGCTTCAACGATTGTGATCTTGAACTCATCCGTGATTTCGGCCATGAAGCCGGCGATTTGCTTCATAAGCCTGTCCACGCTGGATTCATTACCGGTCTTGAGAAGAGTGGTGATTGCAAAGGTGGCGATTGACCGATTCGTGTTTGAGATGAGGGCTTCGATATCGGGGTTTGCCGAATGGACCGCTTGAGGCTTGAACGAGGCGAATGAATGGAGGATCCGAATGGCGGAAAACTTAGTGACGGCTCTCGGAGACGTCAAGAAGGACTGGAGGGCGTGGATGGCTTGTGCTGCTTCCGCATCGCTCACATCAGGCATGTTGCAAATGGCCTTTGCGGCCTCGAAGACCACCATCTCGCTCTTATGCCGTAACCAGGTGTCCAGCATCTGCATCATAGGCTTTCTGAGGCTAGGGTCTTCTTCGGCGAGCCTGGCAGCGAGCCGTACCAACATCATGACGCCGGCCGGACTCTTGACCGCTCCCGCGGCGCCGTATTGCTGGACCATCTTTACCAGGGCCATCCTGTCATGTGATCGCATCTGATACAGCAGACCGATGGCATGATATTGGTTCATATAATTGGTATTGGCAGCGGCCAGGGAGTGCTGTGAGCTACCACCAAAGCTCAAGAATCCTCCACCTGACTTGGATGACGAGGCGGCCTCCTGGGTCTCGCTCTGCCACCTCCTGACCACATCCCTCGCAATGGGCAGTAAATGGTACGACGACACCAGCGCGGCCGAGGAGACCGCTGGGGACTTATCCACAATAGCCGTCTTGATCAGCCGCTCAATGCCCTGCACAGTCGTAGCATCGATAATCCTGCAGAGCGCCCTGATCGAGTTCGCTTTGTAAATGATCTCACTGCCCACAGTCATATCCTTCATGATAATGCTCGTCGACATGATGACATCCTCAGCAGTATGAGCGAGCTCTTTAAGAATGAGATAGACCATCTGACGCAGCGAGGGGTCTTTGTTCTGGAATAACTTGGAGATACCGAAGAACAGGGTTGTTGCTTCGTTGGTGGGGAACTTCTCGCCCGTGAAGAGGAGGACGGCAATCTTGGTGAGGAGTGTTCGGCATTTTCGAGGCGATATGGGGGACGAGTTGAATAGTCGAGCTGGACACATAAGTCAATATGTGATGGCCGAGACGGCTAGAGAAGAGAGGAGGCAGTACCATCTTGGAAGACAGAAGTGCGGTCCAGCTTGAAGCCACCGGCGTGGTCGGCATCCTCGTCCTTCTTTGCGTAACTCATCTTGGACGTTAGGAGCACACAAGCATTCGACTGACAGTAGGCCGAGGGTTCAGGACGAGGAGGATGCCCTTAGGGTGAGCAGCTATTGGGATGGGAGTGCAGTGACTACCGCAGGATCATCTCGCAGCAAGGCGTGAATAGAAGAGAAAGATGGACAAAGCGGAGGGAGTGTTTCCGTACTGAAGCGAGGGTATATCGAGTGTTGTCGTCGAGTGTTGTGCCTCTGCGGGCCTGGAGTTGTCGACGGTGTCCTCCCGCGCCGCCAATAATTTGTGTGCTACAGCCACAATGTGACAGCCACAGTGTGGCTGACTTCACACCACCACAACTCGATGTCTTTCACCCTCGCTTGTTCTTCTGCATATACCGACTGTTGAGTTTCAACATGGACATGCCGGTCAATGTTCCGATAGACAACCCGGATGCAGATACAGAATGGTTGGTTTCAGTTCTATCTCGCCGTGAGGTCCCCCTAAATGCTCTTAACCTCACTACTTCCATAGGAACGACATCCTCCGCAAGCATGGCATCATTCCCGAAAAACCACCGGATCCTGAACCGATCATTCAAGAAGCACTCCTCGAAGCCGCCAAACGCGCCCACGAAAACCGCCTTGAAGACAAAGACCTCGACGAACTCCACGACCTGGAGGACGAAGAGGACGAGGCTTTTCTCGAAACGTACCGCCAGAAACGCCTGGCGGAACTATCGAGTCTGCAGAAGAAATCCGTCTATGGGCAGGTCTATCCTCTTCAGAAACCGGACTATGCGCGGGACGTCACCGAGGAGTCGTCCAAGGCTTTTGTGCTGGTCAATTT